AGATCAGATACAAATATTTTCCATTAATTACAATTCGCATGGACAACACCATAAAGGAATTAGGTGAGGTTATGTTTACAAAAATATATGCTTCTGAATTTAAAAAGCTGTTTATAAATTTGTAAGTCCTAATAAAGAAGAATGTATAAATATATATTTTATAATGTTCGGTACAAAATAATATAAAGTTAAAACTCAGTAATATTTCTATGCATTTAGAACATACTTATTTCACTTTATAATTTGAGTATTATTTTATTTGCAGAGATTTTGTATTCTGGCATTTACCACAAATTCAATACAAAAATCCAAATGTACAAGTAATTACATTTAAAAATTTAACACCAACACCTTTTGTTAAATGTTATTACAGTAAGTATATAACGATATTAATATATTTAGTTATTTAATCAGTTGATCTTAATATTCTACTTTAATTCCATAGATGATGGGAAAACAATGTTAATTGATATAGATAATCAATCTAAGGATGATATATTACAACATTTAATAAAAGTAATTGGTAAAACATCCAAAGTTTTAAAACAAGAGAGTATGAGCAAACGAGTAAAAAACAATCCTGCAAATTTTGGTTATGGGTGTTCAAGAAGTTGTATATGTACAATTCCAGGTCAAGTACCATGTCCTGGTGTAGTACCCCTACCTTATCATATGCGAGGCAAAGTTAAGTTTGCTAAAAGTGATTAAATGTAATATAATTTTAAAGTTGTATTATAAATACATTGAGACCAATCATAAATTATCATTTTCTTGAACTGTTTTCCATTACTTCTCACAAAAATCACAATTTTCAATCTCCAAGCATTCCTAATTTTTAGTAAATAGACATTTCAAAAGATCTATATTTTTATTATTATTTTCACAATGTTTTACTAAACATAAAATTCGATTTATAAATTAAAAACTTCTCAAATAATTAATATTTTAGGTATAAAAATATACATATTTAAAGTGTACATTCGTTTATTATAAAAAGATGTCATTGATTATGAAAATACATGTACATTAGTGTACATATTAAGCATTGCATTATTAGTAAATTGAGATACTTTTGTATCATATGCATAGTCGCATCATCGTCGTCATCATAGTCGTCTACATCATTGTAGGAATCATATTTGATTAGTAGAAAAAAATACAAAATATGGACTAAAAATTTTATAGTACAAAAACAAAATACATGTCGATGATTTAAGTAGAAAATATAAATAATGTATCAACTATAGTCATGGAACGAAAGATGATCAGTAAAAATAAATCGTATTTTTAATATTAATGTTAAGAAATAAAAGTGGGATTTAAATTATCTTCTTGGTTTATAACGATTATATGGCTTATTGTTATGATGGTGATTTCGATTATGATAACGAGTTGATGTGGACGGTTTTGGATTTTCTGGTTTTTGATATAAATGTATTACGGGTGATGCATTTAAAGGTTTGTTTAGTTCAAATTCTTCTTCAGACTCTTTCATCAGTTTCAGTTTGGCCTCTATAGCTTGAATTGCTGTTTCACGACTGGAGGAAAGAAATTACATTTAAAAAAATATTAAGAAATATTTATTAACGATTCCTTCTTTTAATTTACTTTACCTAATTCTTTTATCTTCCTTTTTAGCCCCAGCTAAAGCAGGTATATCTATTTTTGGCTTTGGTTTGTCAATGTCAGGCTTGAACAGAGAAGCTATTATTAAGAAATCATTACTAAGAAAAGATAATGGTTGTAATGTTTCATCAATTACCTCTGTTACACTATGAGCCCATCTAACAATAATATTTTTTGCTCCTACTTTCAAATTATGTAGAGCATCTTTGGCTGTTTCTGCATCCTGAACCGTCTTGTATGTAACAAATGCATATCCTCTTGGTTGACCGGCTTGTGGACCTGACCGGTGGAATAGGAGGTCGAACTTTTCAATAGTTCCATGTTTTTGGACGAGTTTTAGGAGTTGGTACCAGTTGACAGATAAAGAGTTAGTTTTTTCAGATTTTTTCCATTGTACAGAAATATATTTTTGCAAGGTAAAATACTATGCTATAAAATTTTAACAAACAAGGAGAACTGCCCAGGTATTACACTGAACGTCAAAAATAGATAGAGAATATTTTTGCTTAACTTGCATAACTTTATTTATAACAGAATATTTAAGCCAAAGCATAACAACTGGTCATCTGTCATTAAAGTTATATATTGTACCATTGGTATTTCTAGATTTATAACTCTGCAAGAACTCATTAAAGCATTAGCATAACACCTGGGACTTTCCCTTGAAGGTAAAGTCATAATCAGGATAAGTAACCTAGATAATATTTTTATAAACATGTTTATATTTTCTAACTCTTGTGATGCGAGTCATATCTGTTTGAAAAAGCTCCTGTCCTAATAATGACCTTCCCTTATATGAAATAATCCAAGTAAATACTTACTCATTAATTCTTAAATCTAAATTTCCCACCCACAATCTCCTGTCTTCCACCTGATTTGACTTTATTGGTTCTAATGGCAAAGGAACTTTATTAACTGGCTGCAAGTAAAATAAATCTGCTAATAAGTCAACAATATTCTTATGTTGTAAACGTTTGATGAACTTCAAATATGCTAGCATAACCTTCGTGTGATTAAAACGTGAAGAAATGCTCACCTCCATATCAGATGAGTCTGTAAATGGTATCAAATTAATACCAGGAAGCCTTTGATGCTGATATTGATCTCAATATGTATTTCCGTGCAAAATTAGGCATTAGTATTTGAGTATTTATAGGAAATCTTACAAGTACAGTAGACCACTAAACAGTCACCACCGCGGCAGTTTAGCAAATTGTTCATCCGTACGGACAATATTTATAAATGATACAAGAGCTGTTTTCAAAATCATTTCAGTACATACATTAGCCAAATATTTTTTACATTTCCTATTAGTATATACTAAAAATAGAACTAAATTCATTTATACTTTACAGCAGCAACACAATTTATGTATTATCGTCAAAGATTTTAGTTTAAAAGATTAGTCTTTATATGTTATGAAAGCAATTATAAAAAAATGTAAAACGTACGTAGACATATTTTCGAACAATTATGTCTTTTTACTTCACGAACTGAAAAACATGTTTCGTTCACGATTGTACTGAATGTACAAAAACAGTTTTGTACACCAATATTAAACATGGCGTCGCCGTCGCTTTTATCGGATTACGAATGATGACAGTATGAAGTAACCTGAAAGTATCTTGAACATTAAATCACAGCGCAGTGATTATATGTAGTTTCACGACACTATCTCGCAGAAGGTACACTACAAATGGAGAGATCAATGATGTCTGAACAATCGGTTAGTCAGACTCAAACGGAAACTGTTTTGGAGACGGATGTTACGGATCCTGTATCTCAGGTATGTTGTTATTCGTTACCATACGTCATTATTATGATGTGACAGTAAATATGTAATCTGGCGAGTTGATAATTGGGTTTCATGAGTTGATAATTTGAGCAATAAGGCCTATACATTTTTGTTCACTTTATTTCAATTTTTCTGATAAGACTATGCTGTAACAAATTAAATTATCAGTTTTATGTAGTTGAAAACCTGTATCTATGATTTTGTGAATATAGTAAGAGTTATTTGTTAAAACAACAACAATTATTATTTACAAAAATATAGCAAATAGATATGTTTGCTTCCCTATTAAAATATACTGTAAAGGCAAAACCTTTAGTCAGCAGTAATTTTTTAAAAAACATAAAATGTTCATCAAGCAACATAAAAAGCAAAAAGTTTTTGTGTACAACTGCTGAAAATAATAGGTCACCTCTAGCAGGTATTAGAGTCTTGGATTTGACAAGAATTGTGGCAGGCCCTTATTGCACTATGATTCTTGGCGATCTTGGAGCAGAAGTTTTAAAAATTGAGAGACCAGTTAGTGGAGACGAGGCAAGACATTGGGGTCCTCCATTTATTAAAGGAACCCAGGATTCAGTTTATTTCCTTAGTGTCAACAGAAATAAAAAGAGTATTTGCATTGATTTACAACAAGGTAAAGATATCATTTATGAATTGGCAATGAAGTCAGATGTTTTAGTAGAGAATTATGTTCCTGGGAAATTAAGTAAGTTTGGTCTGGGATACAAAGAAATTTCTAAGGTAGCACCGCATCTTATATATTGCTCTTTGACTGGTTATGGGTATGAAGGACCTTATTCAAATAGGCCAGGATATGATGTAATTGCAGCTTCGGTAGGAGGTTTAATGCATATAACAGGCCCTAAGGATGGGCCACCATGTAAGGTTGGGGTAGCAGTGACTGATTTAGCAACGGGTTTATATGCTCATGGTGCTATAATGGCAGCATTGTACCAAAGAATAAAAACTAACAGTGGACAATGGATACAGTGTAATTTATTGGCAACACAAATTGCCAGTTTAATAAATATTGGTTCAAATTATCTGAATGCTAATAAAGAAGCAGTACGATGGGGTTCTGAGCATGAAAGTATAGTACCGTATGAAGCTTTTCCTACAAAAGATGGATATATGACAGTTGGAACAGGAAGTAATGCACAGTTTTTAGAATTGCTTAAAAGAATGCAATTAATAGAATTATTTGAGAATGACAAATTTAAAGATAATACTGCTAGAGTAAAAAATAGAGATGAATTATTAGATATGCTTAGAAGAGAGTTCAAAAAGAAAAGTAATGAAGATTGGTCAGTTATATTTGATGGTGCTTCTTTTCCGTATGGTCCAATAAATACAATAGGACAGGTATAAAATAATAAATGCCAATATTTTAAAAACATCTTCATACAAGATAATTTTATAGGTTTTTGAAGATCCACATGTAAAGCATACAAAAATGGTACAAAACATGGAACATTTCTCTGGAGAAAAGGTTAAAATTGTTGGACCTCCTGTAACATACAGTTACGCCACAAATGAAGTTAGATTAGCACCTCCTATGTTGGGGCAGCATACTGATGAAATATTAAAAAATATTTTGGGCTATTCTAATGACAAAATACAAAATTTAAAAAAAGTTAAAATTGTGCAATGAAAACAGATTGATGTTTAAAAGTTAACAACCATATGTTTTAAGTATATATATTCTATTGGATTATAATTTTTATATAATTATAATTTTATGGTAGTTATTATTATCAAATAAGGACTACATGCATCGTTATATACAATGTAGAGAAAAATAAACACAATATTGTATACATGTGTACATTTTATTATATGCATATCCTGAATTACTTTACAAATTTAAAATGTAATAATTATTTTAATCTTTCCTTTTAGGATGTTCCAACCGTCCGTCTCAGACTTAGAAAACCAAAATCTAATAAAAAGGTTCAATGGACTCAAGGGACTGTGGATAATGAACATATGAATAAAAAGAAATCTAAATGTAAGTTAAATACATTTTTACCTTTCGTTATCCATTCATTAATATCTTATTTGTTCGTATTAATATCTTAGGTTGTTGCATATACGAAAAGCCAAGAAATTTTGGTGAAAGTAGTTCTGAAGATAGTGATGATGAATGTGAACATTGTAATGGTCCCAAAGATTCTCATAAAAGAGCTGTGCCACACAACACAGAGCCTCCTAAAGAAGGAATTACTTCTAACCCTGGTAATATTATTCAATAATATTAATATATCAAACTGAGATTTATATAAATTAAGTGATGAACAAAAATATGTTGAATATTTATTTATTCTTTTTACAGAAGCAATAGTAAATGCATCCATATAGATTTACATTTGTGGCTTAAATAATTTTTCCAAATGGAAANTCATTTCTAACTCATGATATTTTATACTGAATCAAATTAATTATGCTACCTCGATAAACTTAATTTTCCAAGAAATTAAAATGAAAATATTTTGAATGTAATTGTAT